AATTTTCTGATTACTTATCAAAAAAGAAAAAAAAATGAGTCAAGTTGGTTATCAAATTGACTGCTTCCACTGTCTGCATGTGTATACACATGGTCAACTAAACAGAAGTTTTACATCAGAAGTTGTTTCTTTGTTTTTGAGATAGCTATCTATAAATATTCTCAACTAGTTTACACAATTCAAAAAACAAATGTTACGGTACTGAAAAGATTAATGTGGGGAGTAGATAGATCTAGAATGAATGCATTTAAGAAAGTTAGACATCTTATTTGGACAGGTCAGAATGAAAAAGTAGATTAAATTTGGAATGTGGGATATTTAAGTTCAAGACTGTAGAACAGCTACGAGTTACTGAAATAATAGGTATGCAAAATAACAATTGAAAGAAACTAGAGAGAAGAATAAACTTTGCAACAATGTTCAATTTGAAAGTTGGAACTTCAAATGGTGAAACTAGAAGACTATGGCTTTACTTCAAAGCCAGTGACGTAAGCAAATGAAAGTAGGATAGCCATATAATAGGAGCAGCCTTTCGTTGTTTTGCCTGCCTGTCATTCTCAGCTTTTTGAATTTGAATACACTTGAGTTTGTGTTTTATGTCAATAACCTGAAATTTATGCCAATTATAGGATACTCCCCTGAGTTACCATTTATTGCACAGAACCAGTTGCACTTTATGTTCGAATACCATAGATGTGAACTGTTTTTCTGTTTCTCCTTTTCAGTGCCCCTAGAAATACCGTAGTACCAAATGCACTAGTATTTCCCTCGGGTAATATGCGGTCTTCATAGATTGCATTCTTTCCTCTATTTTCCTTCCTTTGGACTGAAACAAATGTTAGTACTTCTCTTTGCTGACCAACTTTCTCTCTCTCTTCTCCAATTTTCTTCCTGTTCAATCACTGTGGGAATTATTCCTGCAGAGGACTCTTTATTTCTATTACACCATTAAATTCTCATGCATGTGCAACTCTAGCATTGACTATAAACACTTACTTTCAGAATCAGGTCATCTTCAAAGTTTATGTTCCCTTCTTCCTTCAGGTAACAAGACTCATAAAAATTGCTGGGGCAATCCATGCTCAGCAATGCACCTTGAAGTGCCACCAAGTTCACATATTTTTTAGCCTTTGCTGAGACTTGATAATTATTGCTTGGATCTACCAACATTACAGCTTCAGATATTACTATTTTTACCTGTCATGTGGGACACCAATGTAATAGGAGGATTGATTGCAGGCTATGGAGAAATCTCTGTCCAATTATTAGATGACCAGTATAAGTACTAAGAACTATTTTGGGTATAAGTTAGCTGGAGAGAATTGCTAGGATCTTTCAGAATTTTTACAAGGATCCTTATTTAGTTCATTGAGTAGAGCTGTGTTTTGTATCTTTATTGTCCAAAGCTGTTGCCTGGGACTAGTTTTTTCCAGAATGCAGCATGCTTAGAGGGATATTCTTTGATTATCCTTTCTCGCTTTTGCGTTTTTGGTTTTTATATGTTTGAGGCCTCTTCATCCTCTATTTTTCTAATTTTTCTCTCTAGTAATATTTTTCTTCTTTTATCTGAAAAAATAGAAAACAAAAGAAAAGGTCACCATATTTTATATAACTTCGCCCAGCAATCTTTCAAAGAAAACATAAGCCACAAGAAAATTCTCATGTCATGAAGATATTTGCTTTTATCTCTTTACAGACACCAATTAGATCACCTAAAGAAGATAATTAAGGGTAATCAGGATATTGTCTCAATGGCTTTGTTGTCTATCACAAATCCATCTTCAGGATCTGAAGCTAATAGGTCTCAAATACACCATGTATGTATAGTGTATTTGTTTTATACTTTTATTTGTGGTGGGATAACCTTCACGCCAGGCCTAAGACCTTTATTCACTTTTCTCCAGTTAACATTTCCTCACCCGCTTTATTTGTCCAATTAATTTTGATTCTATAAACATGTTTTGGATCTGTTATATCTTCAGTTTCAAGAAGTTTGTCGCCAATTTGGAAGAGGAAATGAGAAATGAGAACAGTCAGAGCGTTGAAATAGAGAATGGGTTTCCACTGGTGCAAATAAGGATGAAATTTCTTTCATCATCAAAGACTTGTTGGATTCCTCTGATAGATCCATCAAGTCCAAAGCTCTGGATACATATAAATCTATTGGAAATCGATTATATCAGGAAGCACGCCTATAAGATGGAGAAATAAAAAGCTTTCAAAGGAGCATTTTCATGTAACTCCACTTGATGATGATGAACTTACTAATTGGCATCATTATTTGAATTTCATTGAGAAGCAAAGGATTTGGACTGGATAAGCCGTTCCACTTATCAATATTTACTTTGCCTCAGTGGTCACCAGTTCGATTCCTTTCAGGGTTACTGAGGTGAGTACTCGGTCATAAATTTCAAGGTCCCGTGAGATTAGTCGAGGTGTGCACAAGCTGGCCCGAACATCTACGGTTATCAAAAAAAAATTACTTTGGACTTTTGTCCGTCATTACATGTTATAGTTTAGACACCATCCATGTACAGGCTGTGAAATTGTATGAGATATTCTTGATTTCGTGTGCTAATTATCCTGAATTCTGGATTTGGTATGTGGAATTCCTGGAATCTAAAAGAGGACGTCAGCTAGCTATCTCTGTTCTAGACCGAGCAACACAGATATCTTAAAGGTGCATTGCTCATTAAAACACAGAAATTATAGAAGTAACTTCACATGTAATCCACTTTTACAATTTTCATTAGTTTCATGTTACCCTTGGTTGGGAGAGAGGGGTTGGGCTGGAATTTAAGTTTCTGGTATTTGTAAAACTTCAATTGATTCAATCTGCACTCCTGCATTTAATTTCATGCTATCTTTTAGCTGGGCTTTGGTGTAGCCACTTTGCGATTTCAACATTACAGTGCCAAAAAGTATTTCAACATAAAAGCAATGCTTGAATCGTCAAATTTTCTCGACCAAAAGAAAACCATAACTTAACTTCTTCTTTCAATATGTTTTTTTTTAGAGGGGGAGGGATAATGACAACTGACTTTTCTCCTGTCATTATCATTTTTGACAAAGTTCTAGAGATTCATTTTTCCAGTGCTAGGTTTAAGGATCAAGTAGGAGATGCAGATGGTGCTTGTGCAGCATTGCTTCTGTGTGATGAAAAGATTGATTCCAGCTTCATTGAAAGTGTTATAAAGCAAGCTAACATGGAAAAACATCTGGTATTCTTGCGTTACTCCATACTTCCCTAGATCTAGGCTGAGGATTTTGTTGAGAATAGATGGTTTGAAATTGCAGGGCAGTTTGGCAGCAGCTTCTGCTACGTATGAGAAATGCCATAAACTAGCATCAGATCAAAAATTTGCATATCCTTCCCTCACTGTATTTTCACTTATCCAGGCTTACATTTATGGTAAGAAACTTGAGAAATCCAACTTTGCTGCATCGGAATATTTCACAATTCATCTTGTGATTTGGGCACTTCTAGATAATGGTTTCTAGTGCTTTGCCAAGGTGGGAGGTGGGGACTAATCGTGAACTGAACACTTGATACTTTTAAACTTTATAATTCTATCTCTATGTTTTAATTCTTTTCAGTTCCCATAGTTTACCTGACAATGAATTGCTAGAAATTTATTCATTATGAGCTTTAGGCAGCCTCTACATGTGTCCAATGTATTTTGAGTTGGATATTGTATAATGGAAGAATACATGAGTAGGCAGTCCCTCTAACATTGTAGTATTGTTGGCTGTTTTCTTGCAAACACTTTTATGTTTTCATGTTTCACAACATAATTATTTGGATAGTCGTGATGACTATTTTGTTGGGTTATGCTAATAGAGAGAAGGCCATTAATTAGAATGACAGAATGACAGACTGACAGTAATTTCCTGATATCATCTTACTCGTGTGTGGAAGACAATTCTGTTATTCTCAGAGCAAATCAAAGAAATTGTAATGATGATAGTGCCACCCATCTACAATTATGCCTAAAGTACCAACAAAAGTACCAATTTGTGAGGTATTTTCTTGTAACTTTTATTTAGTTTCTTATTTTATGATATAAAACTAAATATGTATATTGACTTGTTATGATTTCAACTATGCCTAACCGGCTGGTAGATAACATGTAGTGCAGATGCTGCTAGAGATGTAATAATCCGTGGTATACTACACGTGGTTCATTGCAGATACCTTTTGGAGGTAATATTGCACGTCTTGAATTGATTATCTGTTCTCTATAGTAGAATTAATCAAAAACTGGCAATATAATGGTTCTAAATTAGCTGCCTGTCCTTCTGTGATCATCAGCCAGGAAAGCATATCCGCTCCATGCCAAGACTAGGACAATTAGGCATAGTCGTCATAGTTGCTCAATTTTAACTTTAAGAAATTGCTGCTCGTCTAGAATGTCAATTCATAATATACTGGAGTATATGATAACTTCTATTTACTGCTTTGATTTGCTTGCACTTTATTGCCCTTGCTGAGTACTCTGGTCAAATAATTGATTGTTCTTGCTTCAGGAATTGATAAAATTTGCGATGATGCACGAAGTGGCAAGTCAACTGAATATAGTGGTATCAATTATAGCTGTTACCATCTCTCCTGGATCAGACAAATCAGAAGGTTTGAATGACAAAGATATAGAGGATATATCATCTCTCTTTTTAGAGGTCATATATTTTCTACTTTTATTCTAGCTGTCTTTGTCTTTTTCCTTTGGTTTGTTCATGGCAAAGTTCACTTTCATTGTAACGACCTAAAATTAAATTTTCAAATCGCTACCAGAACTATTAACTTTAACATTATAAATATATGAAATTTAACGGGCACAATTTAATTGATGAAAACTCATAACCAAATGAATACTAAAAGTGTATATCACATTTATTAGATAAATAAATAAATGTTAATATCACCAATAGTGCATAACATAGTTTTAATGTATAATCCGATAAAACATATCTTGAAATTGTAAATAAAAATCTTTACGAGACAAAACTGAGAAATTGCTGAAATTGAAAAAAATGCATTGTTACACCGGATTAGGATTATTTTTATTGAGTTCCATAAATCTTGGCATGCATCTCATTGCCCGCCATCCAACAACCCGATTTAACCTGTGAGGTAGGGGAAAATTTTTGGTGAGTATATGGGAATACTCAATAGAACATGAATTAATGGTACAATTCCGAATAAAATATTTAAATCATGCGTCAAAAATATCATACCGTCATATCATAAAAAACCGGTAAGAGCTCATAACATATCATATCTTTGATACCAAATTTCATATCATAACATATCATATAATAACTTTCATTAGCATAATATTTATCAACAATAAAATAAATAATTTAAATGGAATAACATCACTTGCACCTCGTAATCCTACCTCGTTTGATTAAAAAAAATGGTTGGAGGAGAAAGCAAGAAACCATGTTCCCAAAACTTGTATTTTCCACTTTTTGCCCCATTTCTACGTCTTCTTCTTCTTTTTTCTTTATTTTCTTTTCCTCTTTTGGGTAGATAATGATTTCTTTTATATGGTATTTAAGGTTGAAAGAGGAAAAATAGCCTAAAAATCTATCAAATACTGTGTTTTTCCTTTCAAAAGAGTCTCAATCCCGGTAATCCATACAATTTAAAATTCATTCACTTTTCCATCAATCAAACAAGGTGGCTATCATTACCAATTTCTCAAAATTAAGGCAATTAAATATTATTAAAAATAGAATCAATTGACACCTTTTTCTCTCCTACACACGTGGATGGCTCTAAAAGAAAACGGTCAATAATTTACTAATAACCTATTCTACACCCGTGGATTATTATTATTATTCTAATCCATTAATTAATTTAAATCAAATAACAATTTAAGACAATATCTTTCAACCTCGATAATTTGGCCCTCGTTTATCCGAATTAAATTTTTCTCAAGCCTAATATGCATAACTAATTACAAGCTATCCAACGAGCTCAATATTAATATATTTATCATCACTCTTATCAATATTTAAATATTTGACTCAAATAAAATTGAATTTAATAAATGTATAATATTAGTCCCCCAACTTTTCCAAAATATAAAGTATATAACATATAGAATAATTTTTTTTTTT